TACTACTACTACTACTACTCTCTCTCTCTCTCTCTCTCTCTCTCTCTCTCTCTCTCTCTCTCACACACACACACACATACAGATAGCTAGATAGAGACTATATTTATTAAAGGGACACTGTCAATGTAAAATGCTGGTTAGTGGTGATTAATTAAGGATGATATAGACCATTTGAGGATTCCTAACCAGCATAAGTAATATGAGTTGTTATGCACCAACAAATTTTAGGTAGGTTTTTTTTCTGCTCTTCCAGTCCTGGGCATGTCCTGTGCTGGACCATGTAGTGATAATTTGTCATAAGCACATGCCCCCTATGTGGGCACCAAACTCATTTTACTAACATCCTGGATCTGGCTTTGAAATAAAGATTCTACAAGTGAAAAGTTAGTTTGCTAGCCTAATGTATCACTCTAGCTCCTCAGTTTTTAAGCCTGTATGGCAAGTATATGGAGTGCAATTGCATGCATATTTTGGCCTGAACAGATTACATGAAAAATAAAAATTACATCGTATAACCAAAACCTAGCGTAAACCCATCACCTCAAATGTCCTAGTTCAACTTGGAGACAACATGCCTGATTCTCTGGTACCCTGTACTTTATGTGGTCATTCACACCAGTGCAAAGTGAATATAAAATGCTACCACTTGGACTTGGTAGCATTTGCAATACTTTGCACCAATGTAAAGGACAATAGACTGTGCTGGACAATGCGGAATCAGACCCATTACATTATAAGGTTTCCTATAAGGTTTGCTGCACAAAATTAAATAAATAAAATTTAAAAAAAGAATAAAAACCCCTAATCCCTCATCTACAGGTTAGACAATTGGGAAGACATTCAAAATCTAATTGCTCTCCTTTCAACCAATGCCTCAGCTCAAATCCCATTAACTCCTAACAGCAGAACAAGAAACCCAAAATAATACATGCCAGAGCAATGAACTCTGAAGAAGCCAAACTGACAAGCCCAGGGCATATCAAACAAATGAGAAATTGATTTCCACTCCAATGGAAAAAATATATCAGCCATACTGTATACACAGAGAGACCTGGCAACCAGAAACAGCTGGGGTAAAGATAAGGAACCAAACAGATTTCCACTCCACTGGAAAAATATCACCAACGTTGTGCACACAGAACAGAGCCCTTGAAACAACTGGACTCAAAATCATGGAAACCTCTTCACAGACAGGAGTGTGATAGAACGAATGAGCACAATTATGCAGGCCAGACATGCCACATTTTAGGATTGCACCAGTTATATTAGTCATGGTTGGGCTGATAACTCACATGATCCATCTCATCTCAAAAGTGATATTAATTTAAAATTTTGCGTATGATTTCTGAGTCAACATTGAAAGGAAAACCCTGTTTTTCCACTAATAAAAAGCTTCAATTTTTTTTAAATTTTAGATAACTCAAATAGATTTTAAAACTTCAAAGCTATAAGCATTTGACATTTGTATACTAAACACAGAATATGCTTTTAACAGCATTATAAACAATGTATTGAGATACACAGCTCCTGTTTCTCATGTGTACTGTGGATCTGGAAACACGCACACCCAAACAAATGCAACTGCACTTATTTCAGTCATCCCAAATTTCAAATGTGTGATCCCACCTACCTGTGAGAAAAATCAAACATTCAGTGCACTTACTTGGCGCTCACATCACACATTCAAGCAAACACTTGCGTAGAGACAGTTATATTCTCTCTTTCATCCCAACCCTCATTTTTAAAAGTGGAAATTAAATCCAAAAAAGATAATTAATACGTGTGTCTTAAGATTTTAAACAAAGAATTCAAGACACTTACAGCTGTCCCTCTGTTGTACATAGTTAAGTAACTGAAAAGACAGGCTAGTCTATTTTCTGTGTACCATCTTAGGGTTTTTTACTGCTGCCCGTCATGGTACCATGTGGGTGCCTTCCATGTAAAATTGCTAACAAAAAGTGAAGTCCCTGGAGTCATATGCAGTCTCTGGCACTTCTCCCTTTCTGAGGTAAACACCATTTGGGATTGGGGGTTTCATTTTTTATTAATTAGATTTTATTAATTTATTTTTGAGCTTTGTTGGGGTTTTTTGGTTACAAGGGAGTGTCAATATTGGGCAACCACAGGATCTGAATCCAGGACTATGGTACCACAAGTAGAAATCCATATACCTGGGCCACCAGACAGCCGTTAGTGCACTGTTAAAGCCTTGTCAGCACTAGAGAATGATAGAAAAAAAAATGCCACTAGTGCTCACTGAAATAGAGCTGAATAAGTAAAAGCAACAAACAGACCCCTAGTGTAGGCAAGACTCTGGCAGCTCAGGTTTAGTTGATGCTGTGGTAACAAGTAAAATTCAGAAGCTGCTGAAGGAGGACAGACATGTGATCATTCCCCACAGCACCTGCTAGAACTGCATTTCCCAAAGTGTGAAGCACAACTCACGCAGAATGGGTGGGCACAAAGGACTAGCCAGAGGGCATAGATGAGGTCTAAATCAAAATGTGTAGGCCTAAAACGTCACATGGTGGTGTTGAAGGGTGGTTGCAATTGGTTTCTGAGGAGGGCTCAGCTTTCAAAAATTTGAGAAACACTGTGCTAGATAACAGACTGGGAAACAGAGGAAAAAAATCCAAGCATCATTAGAGTAAACCTTAATCTCTTTCCAGTTTATGCAGTGGGACCAGAAAGTCCTGCTTTCAAGAATAAACAAAGAGCTCACCCTAGAAAAGCAGGAGGACAAGAAGCATGAATAGGAGTTTTTCTTTCTTGAACAAAAGGCCTTGAATCTACTTGAGTTTGTCAGATTTTATTTGCTTAACATTAGAAGTCAAATAGTCTCAACTAGTCTTTAAAGTTACCATTAAGATAGAGCCTATCTTTGTTGCTGCTCTTTTAATGTTGGGTAAATTTTCTGCCCAGCTGGGTGAATAGGACAAAGAGTCAATTGATTACACTATAAGTGTTTTCAAAATGGAAAAAAAAAGAAGGAGAGAGAGAGAGAGAGACTAATAAAAAGCTAAGGCTCTAGGACAAACAGGAAAACTGCAGAAGGACTCTCAAATGATAGAGCCTGCAACTTTCCAATGCTATAGGCAATATATTTGTGATGGAGAAATGCATGTAAATTATTTATATAGCACACAAACTATAAAGGGGGTAAGCTATTACACAACACCATGTAAGATTTGTACACGTGTAATGCAAATGTAAATTCATAGTGCTGCACATGCTCTTTTGGGGAGTTTATCATTCATCTGTTATTCTGAAACAGAAAGCCCAGTCACAGACACAAACCTTTTGTAAAGTTTCTTTCCTCTTTGTTCCCATCTCATCTTCTTTGAAGATGAAAAGCCTTCAAGAGGAAACATGTTCTAATAGTAAAAATAATGGACTAGGACTCAGGTGATCTGGGTTATGTTCCTGACATTGTCACAGATGCATTGTGTGATCTTGGACAAATCTCTCCCTGCTCTCTGACTCAGTTCCTCTCCCCTCCCTCCCAGCCCCCATCTTTACAATTGGGATAATTACTAGAATTAAATGGAAAACAGGCACTGTTCTCTTGTGAAAATGTTCCCATTGAAAAAGTTTCAAAAATGTGCGGAAACGCTTTCCCTCCCACATGCTTTCTTGTTGGGAAAAGCTGGAAAAGTCAAAAAGTGGGGAAATCCCCCAATTTCAAAACTCTAAAACTCCCCCTCCCCCCCAAAAAATTGTCATTTCATAAACATTTTGGAAGATGAATTTCTGTAAAAAGATAAGGTTTTGTCAAAAGCTATATTTTCTGATGAAACCAAGTTTGGTCAGAAAATGTTCAAGCAGCTCTGACATATAATTTCCTCCTGGGGGATTGTAGAGTATTTTGAGATCCAGATTACAGTCATGTTACGGCTCTCAGTTGGATTTCTAAATGAGCAGCTATTTACCTTCTTCCTCGCTATCTGAGGCACTGCTCTTCTCCAGAAGATTCTCATTCTCGATCGGCTCCAGGGACTGTGCTGGGAGCCTGCGTCTCTCTAGCTTAACTGGTTTCTTTTCTGAAGGCAACAGAGGGCTCCTCTTGTCCTGTTTCTCATTTTGGGATTCCTCCTGCTCAGACCCCTATGGGAAAAGCCATCAACAAATGGTATAATTGACTGTAATAACCTTCATAAACACTTTATATACAACCTTAGTTAAAAAAAAAAGTTACAATTGACAAGTGTAAACAAACTAGCTGTCCAAATTCTATTTACCACTTACCTGGGGCAAGTACTGCCCCTAACACTGGACTGTGAAATTCCTTCTCTGGATCCAGCCTCCCTCATCTAGTTATATAGCTCCGAGGCAGATTCTGCCAAATGGGAGCTTTCAGCTGAAATCAGTTCCTAGCCACTATTGCTGTGAAGATAACCTTTCAAGAGTGAAATGATGCAGCACCATTTGAGACACTCAAAGGTGTGAATTATCCTATCAATCCTATTGACTGACTGACTCATCATGACTTGACTCTGAACCCGAACTATGGCACTTGTGGGGCCAGACTATTCTAGAAATTCAGGCAAGCAACTGCACACCTAACAAAATTCAATAGAGACAAATGCAAGAAAGGGGAGGGGGAAATCAAATACACAGCTACAAGATGGGGAATAACTGACTAAGCAGTAGTATTGCAGGAAAGGATGTAGGGGTTATAGTGGATCACAAATTAAACACGAGTTAACATGATTCAGTTTCAAAAAAGGCTAATATTCTAGAGAGTATTAACACAAGTGTCGTATGTAAGACACGGGAGTTTATTGTCATGGTCTACTCAGCACTGGTGAAGCCTCAGTTGGAGTATTGTGTCCAGGACTGTGATCAATTGTTCTCCATGTCCACTGAAAGTAGGACAAGAAGTAATGAGCTTAATCTGTGGCAAGGGAGATTTCGATTACACATTAGGGAAATCCTTCTAATTATAAGGATAGTTGAGTTCTGGAACAGGCTTCCAAGGGAGGTTGTGGAATCCCTGTCATTGGAGGTTTGAGAACAGGTTAGACAAATACCTGTCAGGGATGATCCTGTATCAGTGCAAGGGACTGGGCTAGATGACCTCTTGAGGTGCCTTCCAGTCCTACATTTCTATTGTTCTATCATTCTAATTTGCATACATTTATAGAGATTGGGCATGCAAATCTGCTAACTGCAAACAACACAGCCAAAGAAAGGGCAGGAATGGTGGTCCTCCTACTGGTATAGTTCCTACATAAGAGCCATATTCTATCCTCAGTCTCTGTGCAAACTTCTCACTATCTTCAGTGGGACATTGGTTGTGGATCAAGAGCACTATATGGCCTTAAACTTTGTAGTTCTGATGTGTGGCGCATAATGTGATCAAGCTCTCTTCCTACATGATTTTAACTCATCTGTCTTACCACCATATTGGAAGATTAATTCAGTACTGATTCATAAGGAAGAGCTCATCTACGTGAACCATCATCACAATTTTCTGTAGCACTCGAATGCTCCTTTGCGGTCTGTTATCAAAATGTAGACCTGACCTTACATATCTTGGGTGATTGAGAGATTCAAAAGTACAAAGCTGGATGGCTGAAAGGCATAAAAGCCAGCACTGAATTTGTGAAGTCAATATAAAAAGGCAAGGTATTTCCAACACCAAAATAAAGGGAAAATTGAATTACGGAAGCAAATTAATCAGATACTGGTATTGAATCGGAAGCAATTAGTGAATTCCATGCAACACAATGTAGTGCAAAGGAAGAAGTAGGACAATGGGAGGGGGGAAAAATAATTCAGTGCATCAGTATTTCAGCATCAAGATTCTCCAGTCTGGGTGAGGAGAGCGATGAAGCAGCCATTTGTGGCAAGCACTTTTTGTGCAGATAGCAGACAAAGGTCCCATCCATCTTTCCACACCTGATACAGATACAAGGAATTCTTATTCTGATGGTATTTTGACAGAGACCATGGATTTGAAGAAGACAGGGGAGTTTAAACCACCCAAGGCAACGGGTTAAGCATGACACTTCTGAGAACAAAGCCCTTCCCAAGACATACTGGCCAACGAGAGATTTTTTTTATGCATGCATGACATATGCCTTATAAACCCAGATTTCTCGTACCTTTCAGCCATAACACCTAAGACAAGGGCTAAAGAGAAATATTAACTTTAAAAAAAACAACACCTGCTACTAAAAATCAAAAAGCAGTAGGAGGCACATACATAGTCTATTGGTTCCATGGATCCTCAAGAGGAGCTGAAAATGTACAGTGAGGGAGGTGGTGTCGTACATCTCTTTGAAACCCCAAATTTGGCACCAAGCTTGGCAAACCTTCTCCTAAGACTTTCTTGGTGCTACTAGTGCCTAGTAGAGTCCAAGAATGGGGATCAGTGCATGCAATTTTTGTCAAGGAGAACAGCACCATGAGTCTTGATGGCTGTGCACCAATTTCTGGCGGCAGGGAAAATTAGGCAACAGACTGGTGTATACTGTTAGATGCACTGTGCTTTAAAAGAAAACCACGACTGATGGTGCACACAAAGGCTGCACACTTTCTTTTAAAAAAATTAGAGAGTTAATAAAAACAAATTCCTAGTTTGTCAAGCAGAAACAAACATTAACTGTGGGATACAAAAGCCCTTGAAATGTTCTTGAGATTACATTATATCAACTATGAAAGTATTAGAATGTATCACTAAAGGTTAATCATAGTAAAACTGAAGACAGACTTGAATGCAGAGATGGCTGTTCAAGACCCTGGGGCAAGTCCTGTTTGCAGAGGTCTGACACTGCCCGCTCTCCCTCCCCCAAAAAACTCAAGTGGGATTTGTCATAAATGGTGATGAAGTTGCAATACTCTTCATTCTTCCTTGAATCTTTTGCCACGGGGCTTACTAGAACCAGGCTATACTTTCCGGACCTCTCTCACTGTGAGGATCAAGGAGCCGTCATGCTGTATGCTGATGGCCTATTTCCTTATGGCTACTGAAATATTTATTATTGAATAAACTCACATCATCGTGACCTGTCTGCAGGATGCATGTAGGATTCAGAAGACATGCATTGGATGGATTTATTAATGTAACTGGAAATACCACCTGGAATAATGATGGGAGCAAAAACACTCCATTCAAAAGCACAACCTGGCAAATATTTGCTGTATTTAAACAGCATTAAAGGTGGCCTGCAAAGGGTGGGAAATGCTGTACTTTTCCCTTGTTTTTCTTCTTTAGGAAGAATAAATAAGGCATGAAATATTTTTCCTCCTCCTGCAAGTTACTGGGCTCAGTACAGGGGTAACTGGGAGAAATTCTTCAGTCTGGGTTATGCTAGAGGCCAGACTTGATGATTACAGAGGACCCTTCTATTCTTAACATCTATGAAAACAATCACAATTGTCGGCGTCTTGTTTTTCTGAGATCTCCATGGATGACTCAAATGTGTAATGGGAGCTAAAATATACACCATACATATATCACATCACATTAGTTCCTATGATGTCAAAACCCTACCAGTTCTCCATAGGTTCTTCAGGAGCAGACAAGATCTGAATTTCTCATGTGAAACAACAAGAAGAATCCTTCAGCCCTTTATTTTTTTAATTTTCTTTTGGGGAAAAAAGGTTCAGTCCTTCTTTATACATCAAAAAGCAGCAAAAATGGAACGAGTCAGTTTTTCCCCTTTTGCAGGTCACCTCTAAACTACATCATGAGTTTTCATGGATTTACTCAGACATCTTATGGCAGCAATACTTTAATAACTACTGAAACTCTCTATTCGTTCTGTAATCCTGAAATATCTGCATTCTGTCACTCAACTACTTTAGCAAATACCACACAAAATGTATACCTAAATAGAACTGTCATACATTTTGTAAGTTATGCAATAATCAAATACCCCAGATCCATCTCTCTCAAACTTCAATGAGCTCTGATGCGAAGAAATATACTTCAACAAATTGAGCCTGTGCATAGGATTGGAGCCTATATTAATCAAAATGGCACTACTGGGTGAGATTTTCAAAGGCACTTTCATTGTTACAGGGTTAGCCGTAACTTTTCCCCTTGTTAGGCCTCCATTGAGCACACGCTTTCAAATGACAGGTCCTGCACCTCCACTCCTCTCAGGGTGGAATCCCACGGTTCTCCCACCCTAGGCTACAGCACCTGTTCACCATACATGATTCCTCAGCAGGCCCAAATGCATTTAGCAGTGTAAGAGACCTCCCTTTTTGAGCTGTGACCAGTACAATGCAGGGACTCAGAATAGTTTCTTTCAAAGTATTACTTATCCATAGGAACATAGCATTCTGAGAAAAGGGCTAAAACTACAAAGCCTATACACACACCTTGTCTTACCTAAAGCCTAGGTAGGTCTAACTTATCCTACACACTCCAATCTCTAGGTCAATCTGTTCCCCCAGTAGTCCAATCCTCCCTCTAAGCTCACTTCTTTTAACAAATCCTTACACCTAGAATAATTATAGGGAAGTGTGAGGAGATTCTAATCTGGAACAAAAATATCAGGCAAGTGGGTCTGAACATAGAAATGGAAAAAAGACAATAAGAGGTTTTATGGAGCACTTTTCATTTGTAGATCTTAAAGTGCTCTATAAAGATGGATAAATATAATTATCCTCTTTGTACAGATAAAGAAACGGAGTCACACAGATTTGCAGTGTCTTGTCCAAAGTCACATGGTGAGTCAATGGCTGAACAGGGAATGGGATGCCAGGAGCTCCCCACTCCCGACCCAGTTCCCTATCCACTTGATCACACTGCCAATAAATAATAATGTATCATTTAAGTAAAAGAAATTCAAAAGTGATCAGAACTACAAACAATCCATTTCATGTGAATGCTAGCAGCCAGCAGGGCAAAAGTCTTAAAACACTGAAAGATGAATAACTGACCTTAACCCATTCACCTCCAGATGCTAAAATCTTCTAAACTGTCCTCATCTTCTCATCCTTCATAGGTAGGAGGAGGAGTATCCTCACATACACACACTTAAGGATGTATGATTTACACATTTGTATTTGTTAAGTACAGCAAGAGAGGCTTTCTAAATACTTACTCCTGTCAGTGTGTTTCCATGGAATGGCTCTGCCTCTACTATCTGAATGACGGGTTCATGAATTTCACGGATTGCTTTGGGTAATTTTTCATCTCTGTCTCCAGAATCATCACAAATGCTGGATCTGTCCAAAGCAAAAAGATAATAAAGACAGTGTTCATTTAATTTCTTAGCATTTATGGCACCAAACTCATACTTTTGGAGATTTATTGAATTTAAAAACATGCACTACAAACCATTAATTGAATTGCCACATAAGACTGCCAGCTCAGTCATCCCACATCCAGTTCATTAACCCATCAAGCTACCCTGTCCCCAAGTGCCCGTGAGAAAACCCTGGTTTAGCAGTGTGTCTGGAAAGTTAATAAATCAAGGCTATGGTGAACCAAGGGAGAAAGTTAACATTGTGGATGGTAGGGAGATAAAAGTATCTTAGGTCTCAAATTGAAAAGTTTTGTCCTTTTAATTATTATTATAATAGGCATTTTTCTTACACCCATCCTTCTAGCATCCTATGTCAAAATATTTTGAAGATTATACTATAAAACATTAAAAATAAACAGGCAGGGGCTTTTGGGGGGGATATACACATTTCCTCAGCATTTTCATTCAAAACACAACAGCACTAAGTGTTAGTGCATTCATTAATTTTTGTTCACTTTTATAAGACGTGCCCATCTAAGGGCATGTAGAAAATTAAAACCACATTGTTTAAAGAGTAAAGCTGAAAATTAACAATTTTGCTCCAGGTCATTTGAAGGAGTCAAATAAACTGTATCAGAACCAGAAAGAGACACTGATAAATCCACTTTCATTGGCCAATAATAATAATTAACCAACTGTAAAATGGTGAAAAATAAAGCAGCAGTTTTAAGTGTTTCAGTTTTAATAATCTAACACAGAGGGTCTCAACCTGGGGTTCATGAAAAGGTAGCAGAGGGTCATAATCCCTCAGCAATATCCATACTACTTACTAGGATGATGGGCCTGACTAGATTCTAGCATGGGGAAGATTGAGAATCCCCAATCTAAAGTGGCATTAGTAATACAATATGGGATTTTTTAAAAATATGACACACAATTCCTAGATTCCTTTACCTGAACAGAACCAGGAAAAGCTATGGAAACACGAGCTTCCTCTTACTTCTCCACACTAAGGGGGTCTCAGTTCTGCTCAACCTACAATAGAGTGAAGGCAATCGAGTCTTTATGCCTAGTCAGTACTTCAGCCCCTTTGCTAAGGCTGCTAAAATGCGTACAGATTAGTGCCAGTAATGGAGGCAATTTTGAAGGAGGATTTTAAGACAGAGTTGTGGAAACAGTTTTCTATTTCCATAAAAGATAAGTATCCGTAATATCTTCTTACCTAGATTGTCCATTGTCTTCAGAGGAGGAGTAAAAGCTCTCCATCTCCTCACTGTTCAGGCCCAGCTCAGAGCCATAGCTCTGTTGTACCAGTTGCCAGAACTCCTGTTTGGTCAGTCTCTGAAAAGAGAAAGCACATTGTTGGTCAAAAGCTGCAGTGAAGAGCTACTTCTTCTACCTGTTCACAAACAGATTATTTGACCCCAGACATATCTGGATCCTTCCCTGTTATTTTTAAGAAAGCTTCTTGCCTAACAAACAGCACCCATTTTAGACCCCACTGCACTTGGTAGCCCTCTTTAGAAATATAAAGGAGACTCTCAGCTTCCATTTTTAAATAGCTAATCTTCTAGCCAAAACAGGCTTGATAACATCACCCAATATAAACTGATCACTAGAGCTGAAAATTCATGACTGGTTTTTCCTTAATTTCACAGGTTACTCCCATTCCACCCCTCCACCCCAACCCCCAAACAGCTGCCCAGAGCTGCCCTTTGGGGCTCATGAAAACTATAAAGTCACAGTCCCTTGACTTGAGCCTCATCATTCAGGCTGCCACTGTTGACAATGGGGTATCACAAATTCCCTCCCAGCCAAATTGCCTGCAGCTCAGCTGGCTTCTTCGCTGAATAACAAGACAGTTCAGCAGCTGGAGAGGTGGAATGGTCTAGTCCAGTGGCTCTCAAACCTTTGTACTGGTGACCCCTTTCACATAGCAAGCCTCTGAGCGTGACCCCCCCTTATAAATTCAAAACACTCTTTTATATATTTAACACCATTATAAATGTTGGAGGCAAAGCGGGATTTGGGGTGGAGGCTAACAGCTCACGACCCCCCATGTAATAACCTCGTGACCCCCTGAGGAGTCCCGACCCCCAGTTTGAGAACCCTGGTCTAGTCAGTGACTAAGCACAAGGGACTGCTACATTCAAATCCCTGCTCTAAACAGACTACCTTGGTGGCCTTTATCAAGTCACTTCTCTCCATGCCTCAATTTCCCCATCTGCAAAATGAGGATGATCACACTTACCAACCTCACAGGGGAGATGTAAGGAGTAAGCAGTCAATGCCTATGATGCACTAGAATTCACCATAGTACACAAACCATGAAGCTTATTTGGACAACTATCCCTTTTAAATTCATATTTTACACACACACAAGGTTGTGTTAGTTCTAGGAGACCGCCTACGTTGAACTGGGCATTCTAGAGAACATAAAGCAGGCAAGCTGCCTTTCACTAATTTGCTTACATTCTAGGAACTACTACTATTATTTGTTGTTTGGATTCAAGTAATGCCTACAGGTCCCAATCAGGATCTAAGCCTTCTTGTATGAGGCACAGTGGAAACACAGCATAGGAGACAATCCCTTCAAAGAGTTTATAGTCTAATCGAATAGAAATCGCCAACAACAAAAATCAGACAAGTGTCACTTTATGAAAGATTAGCACAGGTTAGGGTAGCAGATCCAATAGATCAGCACTCTATCACTGTACTAAATAATAATACTGCTATTTGTTTCTAGTAATAGCTTTGAGGATGCACAGCGAAAAGCTTGTTTGAAGGAGTGATTTGAAAATCCCCAAATCCTTAAACTGCTTCTGGGCATAGAGGTGTGATCACTGAACACAAAAGGTGGCAGAAAAATGGTTTCATAAGTCTGTCCATAAATACCAAGGCTCTCTCTAGCCACTCCCTTACTCCCACTCATCCCTGCACCTTCCCAACATGTTGCCCTCATATGTCTGAAATGCTTCCTTATCCCAGTGCAATAAAACACATCCCTCCTCTTTCAAATAGCTCCTCAAAGCCCACTTACTGTGCATCCTCAGTCTCTATAGTTTATAAATATTTATTTCTGGTAGCATCCACAATGCACTGGGTACTGAGTCCCATCATCTGGTGCTGGTAATCGGTCACAGACAAAGTAGTACTTGTGCAAACTATTGATAACAAATCACAGTGTATTTAATCACAAGCTCTTCAGGGCAGAAACTGTCCCTTTAATATGTTCGTACAGCACCTAGCACCATAGGGCTCTGAGCCTGATATGAGTCTCTAGGTGACACTGCAATACAAATAAATACTAGAATACAAACACAGATCAAGACAGGCACCTTGGGTAAATTTGTCAAAAGTGCTTAAATGACATTCAGAATTACCATGATCTTAATTCAATGTAGCTTCATTCACTTCCAAAGTGAACTCAATGAAGGTCACTAATTCTGAATAAAAGTGTCTGAACAGGGTTGAATTAATCCACTTTAATTCACACCTCCAGTTAACTCAGATTAATTTTCCTCAGTGTGCCTGTTTAGTCAAACTCCTCATCACATTTGTCAAAAGGGATTTAGAAGCTGAAGTCTCATTGTCTGATTTAGGTTTCTAAGTGCCTAAGTCACTTTTGAACATTGTACCCTGTCTGCCCCATGCTCTGTAAAGATCCCATATACCGTTAGCACTCAGCTACAAATAAATCATATGCATACAACGTTTTGAAAAGTAATATACACAGTTTAAAATGCAACTAATGTATTAATGGCCACACTTCAGTGTTTCTTCACTTGTCATGAATGTTTTCTTGGACATTCTTAGAACAGAAGAACCGTCTGCTTCCCTCTCAAGATCTAAAGGATAGGACACTAGACTAGAACTTAGGAGATCTGGGTTCTTTTCACAGCTGTGCCAGTGACTCCCTTCTGACTTTGGGTAAGTCGTGTAAAAGATATGTGCCTCAGTTTCCGCATGAAGCTTACACACTTTTGTAAAACACTGAGTTTTACAGATGGACAGAACTACACCTCTACCCCGATATAACGCTGTCCTCGGGAGCCAAAAAATCTTACCGCATTATAGGTGAAACCGCGTTATATTGAACTTGCTTTGATCCACCAGAGCGTGCAGCCCCGCCCCCGAGTAGCGCTGCTTTACCGCATTATATCTGAATTCGTGTTATATGGGGGTAGAGGTGTACCTAAATAGTAAGTTACTATTATCTGGTAAAAAGCAACAGAGAGTCCTGTGGCACCTTTAAGGCTAACAGATGTATTGGAGCATAAGCTTTCGTGGGTGAATACCCACTTCGTCAGACGCGGGTATCTGGTACTGACGGCTGCCAGAGACAAGATACTGGACTAGACAGACCACTGATATGAGACAGTATGGTTATTCTTATGAATACACAAGGCTATTACTCTCGGGAAGGGTGAGGGGAATCTTAGAAATGTGCTCAGATACCTCCTTTATAGAAGTCCAGTGCTAGGTTTTTCATTTCATTGTTAAGAAATTGAGCCAGATTTCCCCATCCACCAATAAAATTCACACTTTGACCTGTGCTCTCAGGTATTCTCAAGAAGGGTAAGAAAAAGAGAAAGGATCCAGACACTTAACTCCATATCCATAAAATAAACAACCAGTCTCAAAGTCCATTTTCCTTGCTGAAAAGAACTCGAAAAAAGTGGGAAAGAAGGCATAAGTAGTTTATGGATGTGAAAGAAGAGTGTCATTAATGGTCTCTAAAGAAGCTGGAAACTGTGTATCAGCCATGATCCATATAGATCAATGGAATCAAACATTATGAATGAAGTAATAACGTAAGAACAATTTACAATTTACAAGAAAAATCATTATCGGTGAAAATCAAAATATCGGTGCATTAAATACATTTTAAAAAAAAGACACCATTGTTCTGCTTACTCTAATTGCAGGGTTTTGCAATAGTGACAGCAATTTAAAGATACAAAAAAGGTAACACACAAGCCCGAATATGTAGCAATCCATATATATATATATATATATATATATATATATACACACCATATACACACACACACACGGTTTTTCTTATATTACTATTATAT